CACCGTGTTCCTCGGCCCCTGTGTGGGCTCAGGCACCGGGCCGGCAGCCACAGCTGGTGCCGGGCGCTTCCGCCGGAGCGCAGCAGTGAGTCGTTGACCAGTAGCGCGAATGATCTGGACCTGGGCCGGCAGCAAGGTCTTGACCACGGGCATGCCAGGGATGGAGTCCGTAGAAACTCGGCGGATCTGAGGGTCCGAAGCGAGGAGCTCGTCAGCCTCTTCCATGCAAGTGGACCATCGGGCCGAGGCATAGCCGGTCGGCAGTTCGTCCCACAACGCCATGTTGAGGTCCTGGAAGAAGTGCAAGCCAGCCAGGCGCAACTGGTGTCCTAGGCGTTGTTTCCGCGAGTCATATCGCAGAGGGGTGGTAGCCGTAGACTTGGAGGACTGATCCACCCATTGTCCAAGAGCGAGACGCTCTGTCTCTGAGAGCCCCACATACCCTGCCAAAGTCGGAAGCACGCGGCGGAACGAGTAGGACGAGAGGCTGGTAACGTCCATGGCTGCACTCAGGTAGGGCTGCAGGATCCGGACACATTGTGCTGTACCCACCGGCTGGGCTGTAGCCGAGTCGAACCCCAACCAATGCCAGCGCTTGAAGCCGGCGCCTGTTCTGGGGCGCACTTTGTTCAAATGGGCACCTAGCACTTGTAGAAGGTCCAACGTGCCACAATACCTCGGAACGCTCCAGGCGAAGCCGCCACGACTGCCAGTCTTACCTTTCGTGCACCAGAACACGAGGATGCCCCCGTTACCGCCGACCAAGTAGCTCCGTTGCAAATGGGTGTACCTGACCACACCAAAACAGAGGGCGTAGGCACAAAACACCATAGGCCAGTGAGGATTGTCAACGGTGGATTCCAAGGTGCCCAACAGGTGGATGACCATAGATGGCTCCAAAGTCGCCGCCTGCGCCTGCCCCTGACCGAGGCGAGATCCCAAACCAGCCCGAGGTTTCACCACTTCGGAGAGGTCAAATGGCAACTTGAGGTTGCGGACGATCCATCCTAGAGCTGTATATGCCCTGGTAGGGGACTTGTGCTCCCGAATGAAGGTGGCCAGGAGGTGTTTGTCCGGGATACCTCCACCTGCGGCCGCAATGACCCCTTGAAGCTCTTGCCACGTGTGCAATGCCCGCTTCACGGTGGCGGCCTCCGCCTTCTGGAGCACATGCGTGAGCTTGGCCTCGAAGTTGGCGGTGATCTCAGCCAAGCGTGCCGCCGGCGGGGGCTCAACTGCCAGAAGAATGGCCATCAACTGCGGCAGAAAGGTCAAGGCACCGCCATCCGGGCCGCCCGACTGACGGCCCTGGGCGCTGGGCCGGACTGGCCCCGCAAACGATGGGGTAGGTCGTGGCCTCAAAGGTGGCGATGTGGTGGGCCGCGGCGCTGATTGCGAAACTTGTTCACGACGAACGATGTCTCGCACCAGGGCTCCAGCGCCCAGCTCCGCTTCACGGCGCGCCTGGTCCCAGGCCTCTGCCACTGCGCGGCCCTGCTTCAGCGCTTCCTCGTAGGTAACGAAGTAAAACGCTAAGTCGGAGGGCCTTTCGATACCATGGGCAGCGCACCACCGCTCCAACTTCTGCTGTTCAGCAGAGCGGCGGATCTGATCATCGGCGCTTGCCATGGCGTCAGAACCGGGAAGAAAAAGTTTAACTTGAGGTACCAGCAGCGACACTGCTCCTCAAGGGGCGTCTCCCCAGTTTGGCTTGAGCATTCAAACATTGGGAGACGTTGATTCGAAGCTTCCCAAATAATTCATCATCACCGACCCTGCCTACCTTAAATGATTGAATATATATATATATATGTGTGTGTGTGCGTGCGGTCTTCAAAAGGGTCTTCAAAAGGTCCAGTGTAACAAAACAGATCACCATCAGGCAGAGTCAGGCTCTATTTTAGATTCGTTCATCAAAAACAACCCGTTGGTGATGTGTAAATTCCATACACGATATTGGTGCAGCAGCCACATCCATCTTGGCTGAGCTGAGCGCCTCCGCATTGAATAGCACTGTAGGTGCCAGCACGTGAAACAAACATGAACAAAAAGAACCACTGGTCAATGGCCGAGGCTCTGCACAGCCCTACCAAGAAAGGGATCTTCTAATCTTCTCTGCTCGGACACGATCCACTCCACCTGACCATGGAAGCTGGCCGTGTTTGGGAACAATCTTCTGCAATTAGGCGAGTGCGCTTGGAGACCTCATACCACATCCACATTGAAATGATGTGTCCAGCTCAACTTGCCTGTTGAGAATTCACAGATTGCGAGGCTCCCATGGCAGAAACAATATGTACAGCCCGGTTGCCAGGCCGCTACTAAAATACTACGAGCTAACTTGGCCTGAGCCACTAGACTCCAGTTGTGGCAAGCATCGAGCAAACATGACATCTGCGTCAAAGGCTCATAATGTCAGGATAAGAGCATGGATCATGCCGTTCACTGACCATGGCTCCTGCACTTGAAGCTGAGCCCCCTCCCTGATGCAATATGATGCAATGAGCTTTTCCAAAAGCCCCCTGTGGAAAAGGAATGTAGGAATGTCGTATATCTTGCTACTCCGGCCAAAAACCTGCAACCAGCAAGATCCAGCAAGCACACCAAAAAACATGGAGAGCAAGCGTGTGCAAGCAAACTACTGTACCGTTTTCCAGCCACTCCTCAAGCAAAAAAGATCCAAACCGTCAGAGACTCTTTGTCTTCAGATCCATCTATATACCGCCGGTCTTCTACTTAAGCACCAATTACCGCACGCGGGCGATTCACATCACTGATCAAACTGTCAAATCACCTTCAGATACCAAATCACGTTCCACCAAACCGGCTTCTCAGACCGGGTTCCCGGTAGCTGTTTGTCTCTCCCTGCAGCGCGGGTCTACTACAGTACTACGGTAATTGATTATAGGCCACTTAGAGTCATAAAGGACGCACGAAAGACGACTTCCAACGAAGGAGTCATAAAAGCACACCAGATTCTTCAGAAGGATTGATGAGAGCCGGTTTTACCATCTGTCTTTGAGCAATGAGTAGTGAGCAATGAGCAGCATATACGCTTTAGCCGCTGGCCACAATCAGCTAATCCAGAGTCAAACGTCTTTTCCTGGTCACTACAGTGCACTCCAGTCAGATTTCGTGTTCTTTGCACCCAGGATTCGAGTACATCTGCTTGGTCTGACTTTCGCAGTTGTTTCCTAAGGTCTATCAAAATCATGACATCGTTGAGGTGCCAGGCTGTTAAGGATAGGCAAGCAACAAATCGGGCACATAATTCTGTTTCATGTCAGCCCAACGCATGCAAGGTGAATTATAATTAAATATATCATTACAATTATTAGGATATCAGACCTGAGGCGATGTGGGCTGGCTCAACACGTGCCAAGCGTGGACTTGGAGGACTTGGACTCCATGCACACAGAAGTCCTTCACATCACCAACCCGGCCATGTTTCACAGTAGGTTCCTCCCACTGGACAGGGCCATCGTACTCACAGTTCTCACACTGCACCTCGTGCATAAAGCATCTGTACTGTCCACCCGATTCATCTGCGAAAGAAAAGCTTCTCCTGCGGCCTCCTTCACGTCAAGACTAGAAAAAATACAAAAAGAACCCGAATAACCACAACGCTCCATGATAGTAGACAGCTTGACGGGTCCCACACTGCCCGCCCCGAAGGGTCGGGACGTAGAACATTGACAGGCTGCATCTTTCAGGTAAAGAAAAAAGTAGGAGTAGTTGACTGTCAACATAGCCAAAATGGAAAAACAAAACCGGCATGGTGTGCTCCTTCTGGTGCGGGCAACAAAGTGAAGAACCGTTCAACCATGGACACAACACAACAACCCAACAATGCTTGTTTGTTAAACCGCTTGTGTTGGAACACTTGATCAAAGCATTGAAAGGCCGGTCCTCTTCCTGACGACAAGCTGATTTATCGTGAAGCCTGGCGGAGCCGGCCGACATCCAATGTCTTGTCGACATCACCTTCCCATATCTGCAAATCTGAAAAGTTGACAGCGGTGCTTTCCACATCCATTTGTTGTGAGCAGTGTGTGCAGCTGGGGCGTTCGTTGCGCGTTTGATGGCACTTTTATCTCATTAATTTCTCGCATGGGCATGCACCAGGAGATCACAAACCTGAGCCAGCGCGGCCACGCATATACTGAGGGCAACGAGAAAATGGAAATGCTGTTGAGCTCCCAAACGTCAATCCTGTACCAGTCCCAATCAACGACTTCAATTTAGCGGCGGGCTTTGCGGGAAGCTTGATGCTGGTGTGAGACGGCTTGCCATTGGTAGACAGCGTGTGAATGAAGGACACAACTTGGGCAAACTAAATGTTAAAATAAAATAAAATTGAAGAAAGACAAACCAGTGAGTTTGTCCATCTACCGAGCCTTTGAGTAAAGAAGTCGCTCCAATTTGCCCAATCAACGCATTGCATATCGATACAGGCTTGTCATGTATCCAGCTGTATGCAGGCAAATTCTGTACATGTCGTGCTGGCACTCCACCCGACGCAAGATCTCCACCAAACGCTGTGACTACCAAATCTGCAAGGAGGAAGTGAAGCTGCCAAATGGCCAGCATGGCCGGCATGGCCAGCATGGCCCAAATTCATGCTGATCAGAAGCATCGCAAATAGAGGTTCACTATACGTAAAGTCTTTTGCATGTGTTGGTTTACTGTAATCTATAGTTCAATATTGTTCAATGTTGTTTGATTTTGTCATGTCCGGACACCGGGACACCGGCATGAATCAGCTTGCCCTCAAGGTGAGCTTCCTGCTCAGCTGAGTAGGGGGGATCCCTCTGCTTTCTAGAGACCCCGGTCCTTCCCTGACGGCTGGCTCCCAATCGTGCAGCAACTAAGACGGGGTATGCCAGACCTTCAAGGAAGGTTAACCTAGCTAATGTGCGCCGAACTTGCACAGCCACAAGTCACGACAGTTGCTTTGGGCTTCTGGCATCAGAGCTGCAACGTCTTGGTTTTACCGAATTCGTTGCTTCGTGCAAGTTAGGCATATCCTACAGGGGTTGAGCAGGGCACTAATCAAGCAAATGAAACTCTGGTGTGCCAGCTCAACCCCACTACTCAACGCTCAAACATACTCCGAACCTGGATCACATGAGAATTCACATGTGCTCCTTACTGCATCTATGAAACAGCCGCCAGCTCAGTGCAAGGAGGGCATCGATGTGCTTTGGAGGATCTTTGCACTGAAGAGGTCGCTCTGCATCAAAGATCCCAGCCTAAGTCACAATGTTCCATCACACGTGTATTGTCTAAGTCTATGTATAACCTCGTCAGCAATCGGGAGGCTTCAAAGCAGAGCACGCAATATAATTCCAAATGCGACCCCACTGGGCAGGGGCTCTGTCTGGAAACGGGAAGTGGATGACTAGTTGGGGAATTACTAATTATGAATGACTCCAGGCTGCTTTTCCTCCAGCTTCTTTGAGTTGAACTTGGACTCGATACCTTGGAGTGATTTTAGCGGTCAAGGTACGCCGTCAAGGTTTTATACTACAGTAATATTGTAGCGTACTATGCGTCTGACACTTCAGCAGTGCAATTCAACCATAATATTATATACAAGGCTGCAACCGCTATTGAGTTACTGTACATCATACATCTCCTGTACAGTGATTATCTGACTATCTCGTTCTGAGTGTCTCGTTTCGGGTGCCAAGCTGCGTTGCTTCAGGATCTCCTCCTTCGCACACGCCCGGGCCTTGTAAGCCTCGGCTTGCGCCGCCTTCCGAAGCTCCCACATCCGCTGCCTCTCGGCATTGAGGTGGTCAATCTTGTCGTCCTTGCACAAACGAACTCTGGATGCGTAGACAAGCACATGTCACATGTTCGGCAATATCTGGTGAGCATGTGTGTGCGTGTGCCAATGCAAGTCTCAAAGCGAACATCGCAAAAGGGCGCCTTCTTCTTCACAGCATCTGCAATGGCCTCCCGCTCCGCATCCTCGCGCCGCCGCTGCCGCTCTACATTGATCTCCTCCCAGGAGGCGTCGAGTAGGACGAGGCAGTTGTACCATCCACCCGGCCCAAACCAGGGTCTGTGACTGTGACTCTCAAGAAGACGCCTCAAGGGTTCAGCACGCATCAGTGTGCATATTCAGTTCAAGTACAGTGTCTGTCTAGGCGTGTAAGGAGTTAAGACCGGACCAAACAAACAAAATCCGCGACTGGAGACTGGAGTCATTAATATACTGTACTGCAAATCCACAATCAAGTTGAGGTGGGAGTTTTGCCGAACAAACAAATTGGCTGGCACTCCCATCTGCCTAAAGTTCCAAACAAAATCCCAACTTGTAGGATCAGGATCATTCCACCCCTATATAAATGATTGAGAATGTTTGACTCACAATCCTCACCCCACCAGCCGCGGCCACAGCAGGTGGCAATGCATTCCTGTACTTGGCTTGAGGGGGAGTCGTCCCTTTGGATGGCCTTTGGGATGGCATGAGCAAAATGGGGCAGCGTGTCTCCATACCAGTCTCTCCACGTCTCCTTATTCTTTGCACGGAGACCATCCAGTTCGCGTTTGAAGTCCAAGTAGCGCTCCTGGCACCGAAGCACAGGCGAGCAGTGAGGCACGAAGGAACACACCCTAATTATAATTATAGAACTCCACCCGTGAATGGGCTGCCTTGAAATGAATGCTGGGCGCTGTGGGCATGTAAAAGCAAGGTTAGTTGTAATCTGTCTTCTGGCAACATCAACTAAGAGCGGTTGAGACGCAGCTCAACGAGCACTGCAGAATACTGTCACAGTGGCACATGCTCAAGAACCACCAACTAAATGGCCAATCAATGTTTGTTGAGTGTACTTCATCATTTCATCCCAGTGGGCGGAGAAGCTCGGCCAAGCACAGTAAGCGCTCCTTCTTGGCTTCGTGCTCCATGAGACGATACTCAGTCTCCTCGCCCGCCACTGGTTTCTCAAATTCCGAACTTTTTCTGTATCTGTCTGATTTCCCAAAGGAAGATCTGATTCAGGCAGTGTGCCCCTAGAGATCATTCAAAGGTGTTCAAGCCACATTCAGCTGCACATCCACATCAATTGTGCGCCTTCTCTCTCAAATCTGCTTCATGACCCGTTAATGCTGCCATGAGATGTGTTCAACAGGCGATCACATTGCTTCACAGCTTGCCTAATTTGGGCTCCTCTTGTTGATCTAGGATGGCTTGCCGCCGGTCTTCGGCCCTTCGTTGCGCCTCATCCTGGATCACCTTTCGCCGCATCCTCAGGATGTGTTTGCCAAAAATGCAATATGCACTGAAATCATCCAAATTCAGCGTCGCTGTCGGCCGCTTCCCTTCAGCTCAATAAGGCTGAACGTCTTATTCTGCCGAGGTTCTTTATCAAGAGACAACATGATGTTCAAACACATCTACAGCAAGAAATAATGAGAATCCTAAAGGCTATATTCTGGTTCTCATGGCTTAAAAATACTCGAAACCACTAAAACCACTATACTGATCATTGCATATCATTGCTTGATCTAGGAATTCCTGAGCACCTCACATGCTAAATGGCAGTGTCTTATCCGGCGCTGTTGAACTTTGAGAGATGCTTGTACCTTCCTGCAGCTTCCTAATTACATCGCGCGATGAACTTTAACTTGTCACGGTGGGGAATTACGTGGAATAGCACCCTGGTATTGTTGTTTCGATAACCTCGAAAACCTGCGGGTGCTTCTGCAGGTTGGATGCAGCACTCACATGGCTCTCGAGCCGTAATTACAACTGTTAGAACTGAGTCGTATGCAGCACTATACAGATTATACAGGCTCGTCCGTAGACTTCCAATACTCGAAGGTCAAGACTCAAAGTCTGGAAGGACTTTTTCGCGCTTTCCTCCTGCTTCTCTGCCATCGCCTGCAGGAGGCGTTCCTGTCAATGCCAGTCAGGCTTCGGAACCAATGGCTTCAGGTGATTGATTTTAAACATAGAGAGGAACAAATGGGGCAACCAGCCCAAACAAATGTGATACTAGCATGCTGTAGCTCAAAAATAGAACTACAACCTTTGCAACATTCAGCTATCGCAAGCTCAGAGCAGTCCTCTCTGGAGGCTTCGTCTTGCTGCTTCTTTTCAAAGTCTTCCCGCCGCTTCCGCTCAAAGTCTTGATTCCTCACACCATTCTGGGCTCGTTGTGTCCAATGACCGTAGGTCATCCAGTTTCTGCTAATTTCTGGGCATGGCTAGCCGTGAATGACCGAAGCTTCAATGCGCTACTCGTAACCGAAAGACCGAAAGCAATCCAAATGCTTTCTCAATGACACGGAGCCGGACAACGCTTTCCAGCATGTGTTTCACCTTTATTTCCCACAACTACCTGAGAAGCTTCATCACTTTGGGAACTGCTTTCACTCGCAAAGAAAATGTCAATGCCCCGCTTTTCGGCCAGGATTCGCCAATATGCTGTTGTAGATCTTCATGTCCCGTTTGTCTTTTCGCTCACGCATGAACTCCTGCACGGGAGCGTGGTTCTCACCAGTACCACTCACTACCTACCTTCGCGGAACCCTGGAGGAATCCATTGCGCAAGTGACTCGTGCAAGTGGTCCTGGTATGCTTCCTGCTTTTGCGCCATGATATCCAATCTTCGTTGATCTTGGGCTCGCATCTCTTCCTTCCGAGCCTGAAGCTGTAGATACTCCTGCAATGCCAGAAGAGGTCCCTTGGTCTTGCTTCTATGCTTCCTTGATCATGGCAAGAGCACAACACCAGATTCAATATGCAGGCCTCACCAATTCTCACAACAAATTGTACCCATCTTGTGTGCTGGCGTCTGCTGGTTAGCCTTTAACCTCAGCAGATAGACACCACCCCCGCTACACTACACTACACTCACTACACCATCCAATCCATCCGTCCACACCTATCAAATCACAATAGATTCCATCTCCATCCCCTTCCGCTCCCTAATGCTCCGGAAGATGCTGCCACAAATGCCAGTCCTGCTCTCGCTTCGCCGCTTTGTCTCGTTCGATTTGTCGCTTCTTTTCGGCCTCCTTAAGCTGCCTCTCATGCGCCTCCTTAAGCCGCTTGGCCTCTTGTTTCCTCAAAGTAAGTCGACCAGATCGCATCGTCATGGATGGTCCGGTCCCTTTCTTTGCATGTTATTGAATAAGCCTGGTGTTTATCGGATGTTTACCTCCCTATCTTGTTTTCCGAGCTGTCACAGTCCTAGCTTCACTCGCGGCATGCAAATATATAATATGTGTATGTGTGTGTAGGCGTGATTGTGATATGGAAATGTAAATGTATATTAATATATATATATATATGTTCATACGTAGCTTTTATATATATATATATATGTGTGTGTGTGTTTATCTATTTATGTATATATATATATGTAGGTATATGTGTGTGTGTGATTATATGTCAATAATTGTCAATATGTGTGTGTGGAATTGTGTACATGGCAGATTCCACACTCTAGATGTAATACGAAGTCCCGTTGTGGCCGGTATGCCGTAAGCTATGGCCCTACAGCGAGTCAACGATCAAAGCAACCAGTCTCGCTCCTCTTCTGCTGCATTTCCAGCTGTTGCTTGTGAAACTCTTCCTGCCGAATGGAGCAAATTCCTCTTCGATGTATCAAGTTTCCACTTCCAGTATCTTCTTCACACACAATGCGACTGAACTTGTGGGTGCGGGTAGGTCGCAAATCCTGATCACGTGATATCACTTGTCTGTTTCTCGGGATTGCCTCCAAAAACGGCAGCGGAAAGTCGGAAAGCATTCCTTTTTTACTGTCCTTGGCCAGCTGCTTCTCCAACTTCTGCCGGGCCTCCATCTCCATGTGTTTCCGCTCCTCTTCTGCAGCCCGGCGGTCGTTCATCTCTTTCCTGGCCGGGTGGTCATATTATTATCTGATCTTGACTTCTCATCCGAAGCGATGTCTGTGTTCGCAGACCGAACTTGGGCCAAAGGAAAGTCCCTCCTCACTTTTTCACAACGCAATGCCGGAAGACTGTGTGACTGCTTGGAAAGTATCAGTATAACGTAAAGGCACGATTGAAAAAATCATGAAAAGTCTCTCCTCAAACAATGCTTGACTACCAATGGCTGGGCATTGCTGTGAAGTGTTGTGAAGATTGAGTCGTTGCAGCCCAGCCGCATTTTCCGGGACTGTTCACGGAGGTAAGCCTGACGTCAATGTTCGCTCATGTTCGCTCAGCCTCTGAGCATGACTAGCCGCCCATCCGTAGCGAATGTGGTCGAACGAACAAATGTATCTGCAGTGATACTTGTATATACTTGTATACATTATTATACATGCACCGTACAGGACCATATAGAAAAACGCCTCTAGGCAAGTATATGCATGTGTGATGCGTACGCCTGCATTGTTTCTGGTGTGGTGGACCTTCCCCAGTGTGCCTTCGCGTGTGGCTCGCATTAGGCCTAACGATAACGTCTTCCCACTGAAGGGGTCAAACATGTCCACCGGAATTGAGCCTGCTGGTCTTTTGCCGCGCTGTCCAGGAACGCGTTGGCTGACTCCAAGTCCTTGAGGTTCTTCAACTCGATCTCCAGGGCTTGGCTGAGCCATTTTCCTCAGGCAAAAATTGAAAAATAAGCCCGGAGAAGCTCCGTGCGAAAGCCGCTGGATTATTGAGATTTGTTGGGCATGTGGGTGTTCTTGAGATTTCTTGAGAATCAATTTGGCCCTCGTGAATTGCCTGGATTAGATCAAAACTGCCAAGAAAAGTGGTGTCCATTGATGGGTTTCGCAGACCTCAGCCCAGTGTCTCTCGGTCTCCTGCGCACGGAGCAACTTTTGCCGCTCCAACTTTAGGCTGTCGCTATTCAGCGCTAGCACAGCTCCTGCAAGACTCATCCAGGCGATGGCCTCCAACCTAATAGCAAATGGAACCTAATAGCAAGGGCCTCCGACCTAAAGGCGATGGCCTCTAACCTGGAAGCAATGACCTCCAACCTAATGTCGATGGCCTCCAACCTAATGGTGATGGCCTCCAACCTCCAAGCAATGGCCTCCAACCTAATGGCGATGGCCTCCAACCTACAGGCGATGGCATCCAACCTAGAGGCAATGGCCTCCAACCTAATAGCGATGGCCTCCAACTTCATGGCAATGGCCTCCAACCTAATGGCGATGGCCTCCAACCTAGAAGCAATGGCCTCCAACCTAATAGCAAATGGATTCTAATGGCGATGGCCTCCAACCTAGTGACGAAGGCCTGCAACCTAGAAGCAATGGCCTCGAACCTCATGGCGAAGGCCTCCAACCTAATGGCGGTGGCCTCCAATCTAATGGCGTTGGCCTCCAACCTAGAAGCAATGGCCACCAACCTAATGGCGATGGCCTCCAGCAATGGCCTCCAACCTAATGGTGAGGGCTTGCAACATACAAGCAATGGCCTCCAACCTATACAAGAGCGCAAAACTTGGGTGTGCCCCCAGCCTTTGCTCAAGCCGCTTTCTTGCGCGACCTAGGCCGCCAAGGTAATGGTTACAGCAAGCTCTGCTTGGGCCAACACATTTTATCATATTAAAGTATATATTTCATAAATTCGGTCAATCTTGGTGGAACTCCGCACCCTCACCCAGCCACCTGAGCCACCTCAACCGACCTCAGCCATCTAAGTTAATCTGCGGCAAAGGTACCATCGCCAGCTGCTGATTTTGATTCTCCTTGGTCTCCGTGAGGAGGTGCTCACGTGCCCTTCGGGCAGCCGCTAACAAATCCTGTCGCTTGGCCTCAAAAAAGTCATACCTGGGCCATGTGGGCCACACGGGCACAGTGGTATATAACCCTTGGCACGTGATCGGACGATCAACTTCCTAACGCCGAATCCCGAAAGATGGGAACGGTGCCAAACATTGATTCGTGAAGGCCGAATCCAGGAAAACAAAGCTCGAATCGCCACTCCTGTGTGGTTGTGCTTGGGAGGGCCACGCAGTCTATATGCAAGAGGCAACAGGAAGTAGGTGACAACCTTTGAACCCACCGTGATTTCCCACTCATCCTCACTCTCATAACTACCAATGAAAAACTTCGGGAGTGAGCGTGCCGCTCTATGTCGCCCTTCTCGCCTCAGCTTCACTAGGCGTGGAGAAAGGTGCTTGTCCTGAAAAGCTTCGACCTGGCGCGGCTCAGTCTGGAGATGACAGTAGCAAGAAGCTAGTAGTAACAAGGGCATCACTACTAGTAACAAGAAGCTACTAGTAGCTCCTGGCATTACTACTAGGAACAAGGAGCTACTAATAACAATCAAGAGCCAAAACTGACATGCACAAACAATCAAACACTGAGGAACTTGTTGCGGTCGTAAAACCCTCACTACTGATCACACCAGTCAGCATAGTGTCGGCGGATGCACAGTGGTCCGTTGATTTATTAACATCAAAAGCAAGTTACGCTGTCACATTGTCGTACAAGTCACCACTTACTTTCCACAATTGAGCACTCCACTCTCACCGGGAATGTTGATCCAAGACACTGGTTTGTAGATCAACTCCTCTGGCAGAACGCCTTCCTGCCTGAGTAGTGTTGAGAAAGCAAATGTGAAAGGGTCAGCGGCTCAGTCAAAGAAGCATTCCTTGCACAATTGCAGACCCATGCAGAACCGATGGCACGCATTGAAGCTTGAGGCCGCGGCTTGCATGCCTGCACTGACCGAGGTGATGAGATTACCGCTTTGGGATTGCTCTCATCAAAAATCAACAAGGAGGCCATGGTCGGCACGGGCCCCGAAGCTTTAGGGCCCTCCTGTGATTGGTCTTGAGCCAAGCCCTGCAACGGTGAGGTGTCGCCCTGCATCAAAGTGGCACTTAATTAACGCTTAATAGCCAAACAAACTTGAGGCCAGGGGGAGAGGTCGAAAGCTAGCCGAATCGCACCGGATGTACTAGTTACATAGTCGGCAAAGCATGTAGGGATGACATGTTTTGGGAGGAAGGTTGCTATGTACATACTTTGCGCTAAAGAATGTAAATGTGACATCGCTGACTGGGAAGGGTACATTGGAACAACCCGGGTGCACTCGTTGGCAGGCACGAAGATGCGTGATCGGCAAATCTGGGGGGTAAATTTACCCTCCGCTTTTATATGCCTTGAGTCGGAAAGAGGGGTAAGCATTTCTGACATCATACGGACTGTACATACACTAGGGCGTCCGTAGTGTAGGAGAAGCACGGGTAAAAGGTATATGGAATAGAGTGTCTTGAGGAAATAGCCGGTGTATGGTTATTGCAAATCTGGGGGGTAAATTTACCCCCCCGCTTATGTATGCCTTGCGCTGGAAAGAGGGGTAAGCATTTCTGGCATCACAAGGACTGTGCATACACTAGGGCGTCCGTAGTGTAGGATAAGCAC